CCATTAAGCAGTGTAGAAACAGTGTAGCTATTGAACTTTTGTTTTACAGTATATCAGTGAACTTTTGTTTTACCATTGAATCAGTGTAGCTATAGCAGGGAACTATTGTTTTACTATTGAAGCAGTGTATCTATATCAGTGAACTTTTGTTTTACCATTGAAACAGTTTAGCTATATCAGTGAACTTTTGTTTTACCATTGAAACAGTGTAGCTATATCAGTGAACTTTTGTTTTACCATTGAAACAGTGTAGCTATATCAATGAACTTTTGTTTCGCCAATGAAACAGTGTAGCTATATCAGTGAACTTTTGTTTTACCATTGAAACAGTGTAGCTATATCAGTGAACTTTTGTTTTACTATTGAAGCAGTGTAGCTATATCAGTGAACTATTGTTTTACCATTGAAATAGTGTAGCTATATCAGTGAACTTTTGTTTTACCATTGAAGCAGTGTAGCTATATCAGTGAACTTTTGTTTTACCATTGAAACAGTGTAGCTATATCAATGAACTTTTGTTTTACCATTGAATCAGTGTAGCTATAGCAGGGAACTTTTGTTTTACCATTGAAACAGTGTCGCTATATCGGTGAACTTTTGTTTCGCCAATGAAACAGTGTAGCTATATCAGTGAACTTTTGTTTTACCATTGAAACAGTGTAGCTATATCAGTGAACTATTGTTTTACCATTGAAATAGTGTAGTTACATCAGTGAGCTTTTGTTTTACTATTGAAGCAGTGTATCTATATCAGTGAGCTTTTGTTTTACTATTGAATCAGTGTAGCTATATCAGTGAACTTTTGTTTCACCATAGAAACAGAAGTTACAAGTTCATTCCCCTTATTTTTCTCATTTCGGAAATATAACCAATTAATTTACACGTTTTGCTAGTTTCAATGGCGATTAAAACAATTTCAAAAAGTCAAACATAAAAATGATTTTTTTTACAATGTAATGTATAAGTATAAGATGTACGTACATATCGATTGTGAAACCAAACCAACTGATAAAAAAAATCGATTTTGACATAAATATTCTACCTGTGATGAAACACACTATCAGCATCTAGAAAATCCAGAATACAAACGAATACCTCTGTCGTATTTGCATATCAGTCGTAAACTTATTTATCAGTTTACATCATCTCGGTAAGATGCACTCTAAAATCCCGTGTGTATAACACAATCTCCGAGTTATTACAGTGGAGTGTACAAATACAAATAATTAACAAAAACACGTTTTTGTTTTCTCCCTGTCTTACACATTTTTTTGCTTGTTTTAACGAAAACATGAATAGGAAATAAAACTACAGCTTTTAGATATCAAGTTATTGGTTTTCATCCTTATCATGATTTTGAAACATATCTTGTGATCGTATAGAACATAGCCGCAATTATTTTTTCTTAATGATTTCGATTAAAACTTTTCAACAAATCCCTTGACTTGATATGCTTTGTGTTGTGCATACAGATCTATGGACACTCCTGGTGTTAACATAGATCAGATATCGAATCATGACAAAACAATGAAAACCTACATGAGATGACACCGCTTTAACAAGACATGTAAATACACTGACTTCTTTCAGCTTAATCCGAAACAAAGTCCAATTCAATCAACTGGCGCATATGGTCCACTTGTATGTAGTTGTACTTGACACGTACTGCTCGTCACATTATGTACGTGAATCGATTTATTTGTGAGAAGAAAAGTACATGTCACCCCGACTCGAGAATAATCAACATGTGATTTACCTGTGCCCTTTATCACACTTCGGGTCATTTACATACCCAGGGACGAGTCCTGGTGCATGAACTACATGTATAAACAGACTGCCAACGGCTAATCGGATTACCCTTTTTTTTATACATGGCTGTATTTTGAGTGAATTTTTTTTCTAGCTGATAACAATTTTTTTTTATTTGTGATGAGAGTCAAAAACAACCCGATGCATTTGCACTCAAGATATTGCATGTTCGAACTTATTTCATTGTTTGAATTTAGCACATAATAACCATTTTATTAGGGCAATATCGTCCGTTACAAACTATTGTTTCAGCCATACGTGTAATGGATACCTAGTCATGCTATGTCGATATGCTGAAAGTTTCCATTTTTTAAAATTAAGACGTCATAACTTCGTGATATCACATCCGTCATAACTTCGTGACGTCACATCCCTGAATGTGACGTCAGCAAAGGGAAGAGTGAAAGAATAGGAATTTCACCGCTTTAGATAGTATAGTCTAATGAAGTAATGTTTTCACAAATGCCTTCGAAATTAAGTGATGAACATAATCTTGATTTGTTTCCATTTGATGTTAATGAAACAGAACACGATTTCAAAATTTTATCTCGCAACAGATGTTCACCCAAATAAAGAGAGAGAGAGAGAGAGAGAGAGAGAGAGAGAGAGAGAGAGAGAGAGAGAGAGAGAGAGAGAGAGAGAGAGGGGGGAGAGAGAGAGAGAGAGAGAGAGGGGGGAGAGAGAGAGAGAGAGAGAGAGAGAGAGAGAGAGAGAGAGAGAGAGAGAGAGAGAGAGAGAGAGAGAGAGAGAGAGAGAGAGAGAGAGAGAGAGAGAGAGAGAGAGAGAGAGAGAGAGAGAGAGAGAGAGAGAGAGAGAGAGAGAGAGAGAGAGAGACATTCGTTTCATATGAAATGGAAACATGTAAGACAATCTATGTGCGAATAGTTGAGGGACCAGATATAAAGCCAAAAATGACTATAGGACTTTGGTTTGAGTAAATGAAGAACTTGAGATAATATCAGACCAGATATCACGAGATCTGTAAGGGTTAATGGTATTGTTGATTAGTAGTAATTGTTGTAAGAATTACCGTGCGTCTTTAGACCGTGTAGTAATTGTTGTAAGAATTACCGTGCGTCTTTAGACCGTGTAGTAATTGTTGTAAGAATTACCGTGCGTCTTTAGACCGTGTAGTAATTGTTGTAATAATTACCGTGCGTCTTTAGACCGTGTAGTAATTGTTGTAAGAATTACCGTGCGTCTTTAGACCGCGTAGTAATTGTTGTAAGAATTACCGTGCGTCTTTAGACCGCGTAGTAATTGTTGTAAGAATTACCGTGCGTCTTTAGACCGTGTAGTAATTGTTGTAAGAATTACCGTGCGTCTTTAGACCGTGTAGTAATTGTTGTAAGAATTACCGTGCGCCTTTAGACCGTGTAGTAATTGTTGTAAGAATTACCGTGCGTCTTTAGACAGTGTAAATATACCATCAGTAACACCGTAGAGACAGTATATATTGTTTACGCCACATTACAGTTGTGTGTGGTTAAAGTTGAGTAACATTATCAAAGTCTAACCGACTAAGTCTGATTTTTCTGTATTCGACTGGATGTCTGAGTAGAATTGTCATAGATGATAAAATCAAAATTTAAAGTTTTGCTTTATATGTACTGACACTTTACCCATAAAAGATTAGTCATTGTTCTGTTTCAGTCACGAAATCACGCTTTATTACATTAAAGTTGTCCGTAATTTAACGTTTTTGTATTCTTTCAATGGCTACGTAGCAGTAAAGCTTCAACATTAAATCTGTCCTCTTTCTCCTTCCCCTTCAGAGGTTGTCATGCGCATTGTTCTGTTTCAGTCACAGAAATCACGCTTTATTACATTAAAGACCTTGTCCGTTTAAATATACATCAACAATTTTATTTAACGTTTTAAATAAATAAATAAATAAATAAATAAATAAATAAATACGTGTAGTAGTATGCCTCTAATCATGAGCTTGCAATATATATCTGAATTATTCCTTACTCTGATGGAGTGTTTCCTAAGGCAGGTAAAATGCCAATAATTTTTTTTTATCTTATTGACAAAATTTAGATACGCTGTAGTTTGTTGTACAATGCACTGAACTTTGGTGTAAATATTATGAAAGTTGCAATTTTATTATCATTGTTAACATTTGAAAATTTGGAATCGGTATCTGAAGAGAGAGAGGGGGTGTGGGGGATAGGGTCATATTATTATTAGTATTTCTAATTAAACGTAGAAGTGGAAATAAGACAATGAAATACTCTTGTTGTATTTAAATTTCACAAAATTATCATGGCAATTATGTTCGTATTAAATTAAGACAGATAAATCGCTTGAAATTCACCCAACATCATCGGTACCGATATAAGACAACACTGAACAATTGCAGCGAAAGTAATTTTAACAAAAACCAGACTATTTTTTCTCTAACACTTGGCTAAATATCTAACGGCACTGCCTCAGTGAGTCAAGCATTTGTATCTATCTGAATGTTTGCTTTTCTTTAAAAATGTAATACATCTCCATGAAAACTTCGACAATTTCCAACAACAGCAAACTTTTTAATGTCAAGCTGTTGGCAACCACGTGGTGATGTTTACATAATTCATATCTCGCGCCAAATATGAACAAAGTGAATGATTTGATTGGTTACCGATAAATGACACCCCTTGTAAACAAACCGCAGCTATCGAGCACATGGCAAATGGCGTGTGAAACAATCGTACGCGTCAGAGAAGCACGATGGCCGTGACAGGTAAAAATCAAAACACATTATCATCCAACAGCGACTGTCATCCAGTTGGAACACTTACAAAGATATTTATTGTCGAAAAAGTCCTGAAAACAGCATTTTTGCAGAACCAGGCTTGCAACAACGGCATCCGCCATTGCTCGTAAACCAGATTCCTGATTGGTCTAAAAATGACTCGGATGGATACAGAAATGTGCTTGATTTAATATGGTCTGTACTATCGTTGGATTATAAGATTTCCTTTTTGAACTATACTGCATATAGTAAAAAGGACTCACTTACTGTGCTATGAGCTGTGTTACTAAGTTATAAGTCGGTGTGATGGGCACTATTTTTACGCGGAGTGAGAAAAGTCGTGTGCCGGTGTGCAATGCGGTTACTTTGATAGCCCTGTGTACGCTCATTGACAGTTTACTAGTTCGAGTTGAGGTGTGAAAAGGATGCACTCATTGTGATATTTTAGTTTTTATATGGACTTAATCAATCGAAATGGATGGTAAAACGAAGGACGCATTATCGCTTTTAACCTTTTTATGTTATGGTAAGTTTTAAACTTTCATTTTTTCTTTGTAGTATGATTGAAGCAAGACTTGACATTACAGGGAGCATACAAGTCTCGGTCATGTCATTCAAGTACCAGTACATCGGATACCCCGCCTGCCCCTTTAATACAAACTCTTCTTTTAAGTTTATATATAATACCATGATAGGTACTAAATGTCACCAATCGTGATATATAAATATATATATATAACTTATGTGGACGAATGACAAACGTCTCATAAATATTTGGTAGGGTATTATATATCAAACTCACTGCAGAAAGTTGGGATGTTATTTATATTTTATAAAAAATCAAAATCAGACATCATTAAAACTGTTCTAAATTTACATTCTATTTCCATTACGTATAGAAATTTGCAAATAGTAACTGTTGTGTTTTTTAAATACTTTGATATTCTAGAAAACTTTGATACATGAGCAGGGCCCCCTTATTCGTTAATGTTGTTACACCAGACATAATTCTGTTGTGTAATATTAATTATATCAGTTCATATATTTCTTGTTTGAAGTTTGTTTACTTAATCTCTACTATCATAATTTACTACCTAAGATAATTCATAGGGTTGTAACAGAAGTATTAATTGGTTGCTATATATAATTACTGTTAATTGTAGAGGTAAAGTGATACCCAGTAATTTAACTGAAATGTCTGACCTATTGTTTGTTTAAGAGATTTAACTAAAAGAAATGGCAAATTCTGAAAAGGTTTGAAATAAAAGGTTACAAAGTGGGTGGTTGTGGATTATACTCATAATGGTAACGTTGATAATGTGAGGTAGGAAAATTGATACGGGACATGTGAATTTTACGAGTTTTGAATCTTTATTACAGGTTTTTCAAAAGTCATTCAATATAGGAGGTTTAATGTTTTATGTCATTTTAGAGAAATACAAGAGACATGTTCTGTATGAAGCAATTCAAAATTGATTCTTTAAAAAATATGAGCCAAGATTAAAGTACATATATTGGCTACTGATTTTTGAAACAAACATACATAATGCATTTCTAGTGTTCCAGCAGTCACAGATACAATTTATACATAGTGTGTGACTTGTCACGAACATGAAACAAAGATAGATGATTCACATAAAAACCAAAGTAACTTTTCATCCAATTTATTTGTTTGCAGTGTATTGAATTTTTCTTACATTGTTCATTTATAGACATCAATGTTACAATACTACACATACATGTTGCTTGATAAATCATTTCTCTGAAACCAAAATAGAGAAATAAATTCCTTCCAAGGTTTATATACATTAAACACTGGAACTGCAGTTAAATCAGAACTACTGTTAGAAGTTTTAAATTGAAAACAAATGTAATCTTGTACAGAAATAATATTGCTTGTTTAGAAAATGAGATTTGGAGAGACTGGAAGTACATTAGCTGCTCTTCTTTATCCTGTCTGATCAGGTACACTGAAAGTTGTGATAGAGTTTGGATGGGAGGGGGTCAGAAATTTAGGGGTCAGATAAACTCAAGTTAATTAACAAATCAGTGTAAACATTGATAATGCTATTTCTTTTGGCCAGCTTAGCTGTTGGAGTCCAGGAAAATCAGTATATTGTTATCTGGGCAGTATATTGAGTTTCACTTTTAAGCTGCTGGGAATAATTTGGAGATGGGCATATAATGATAATTCTGACTGTAATTAGTCTTCGTAATCTGAAGAATAGCTGAAAACTCCCCATTTACTGTTGACTTGTTGTTGTAGAAGTTTCAGATTTCCAAATGAAAGTTGAGAAAAAAAAATATAATAAAAGTAAAATGAAGAGATTAAAAAATTTATCCCGAAAATTCGACATTTTGTATCATTCTTGAGTTTTCAGAGTGTCATTTTACAAATTGTCAAGATAATTGATGTTCCACAGTTGTACATGTATTTGAATTATAATCTGTTACCAGTTGAATTGGTTTATTGTTATATCATATTTATAACAACTCCTAGTTAAAAGATAATGTAAATTTGGATAAAGAGCAGTTCTTTGGATGTCATACATCAAACTTTTTAGGCAAAATGGATGGTGATGTATCATTCTGGTAATAAAATACGTAAAATAATTTTATCATCAAAATTGCTGAATGAATGTTGGAAAACCAAAATAGATGTTTGAAAGTTTATTATTGCTAGTGATATAACATTTCGTTATTGATAGTATATGTTATGATAACACTTTGTTATATACTTTATAATCTGGTTGTATTTATGATACAGCTGTTAGTTAAATGTGTAACAAAAAGTCCTGAAATGAAAACATTTTACTGAATTTGGATCTCTTCCGTTTACTTAATTTTACATCAAAGAGTGGCCACATACCCCTGTACAATGATTTGTCTATAGCATGCAGTGTATGTAGTATGCCATGATATTTAAAATGGTAACACATGTTTATAGAGCAGTGTGCATGAATGTTTGCTCTGGTGATTTTTGAATTTTGAAAGAAAAAAAACATTTTTTAAATGTAGTAAAGGCTATACACAATATGACAAAACTGTTCTTATAATTATTTGAAATGCGTAGAATATTTTTACTTTTAAAATGTAGTAAAATAAGCCAGATCTGAAAGATTTTATAATTAAAAGTAATTAAATTTTTGGTAGAAAAGGTAAACATATCATATGGATTTAAAACTTCAATCTGCTTCTGTATCAGTTTAATAGCTCAGCAACAAGGGACGGCTTGTTATAGTCATTTGTTACTAAACCTGTTTTGTTTATAACCAGCTTAGGTTACCTCATTCTCAAAAGTGTCAAACCCTGTTTGTTTATAGTTGATAAGCAGGAAGCAATTAGCACCCTACTTTATAGGTATATCTTAATCTGAGTTAAACCTGACATAGAAAGTGCAGTATATTTTCACCTGTAAGTAATAAAGATTACCTGCATGGAGATAATAGTCAGTTATTTATATACCTGGAGGTCTACACAGATGGACATTTGACCATACAAATAGACTTTGTCACACTACATGACTGATGCTTGTACTGATAATCACAAGACCAGTAAGGGTAATGTAAAGGGCCACAGGGTTGCCCTGCTGGCCCTCAAGTGGCACAGTGTCCTGGGCAGGTGTCACCGAAAATATTTGACAATGTCTTAATGAGATGTCCAGGTGCTAACTGGTTTCTAGACTGTGAAGGTTGACTTTCATGTTGAGATGGGCATCTGTAGGGGTGTCAGGGCACACTTCACATGTCACAGATTAGCTGTTGGAGTAGGAATACTCAAAAGGGAGGGGTTAATATCAGTATTTATCAGAAAAATGCATAAATAAACCCTTTTGTTTGGTACAAAAACATGTATAAACATTTACAAAAAAATTGTCAACTTTCATGCCAGTTATATAATAAGTAGACTGTTTGATATTGCTGGTTAGAACTCTGGAAATGTAAGCTGATTATCAATTTGATACTGGATAAAACAAGCCAGGGGTGAATTGGTAGACTAGATAATTAACTTGTTACCTGGGTACAGTAGTAACTCAGCCAGCACAGGACTAATGGAAATTTATAATACAATAAGTGGATGTTGGCAGTCACCAATACTCCTTGGAATGATACTAATGTTCTTATCTGTAAAACAGAGATATGCCTACTATTGTGCAATTATAGACTTCAGATGAGGTCAATACATGTATCTATAAATCTGATAAAAATAATCAAATATTAATCAGATAGAAAATGATTTGGAAAAATGGCAAGTTTGGTACATGTAAGTTGATATATCTTTCTTGATAGGTCTGTATATGTACATGTACATTTAAGATAATAGGGATCAAATAAATTGGTGATCTCTGAAATAAAATCTCATAATTTTCACTGTGATCATGCTGAATCATCAGATCATAACACTGGTAACTTTATCATTAGATATTATAACTGAACACTAGTGGTAAATAGACAAGTTTGGAGTTTCAGACTCGATATTTCTGACCTGAAGAATTACAAAACTTTCCAGGTAATGTAATTATTTCCATTTGTGAATTATCATGGATGTTAATCAATAAATGATTAAAAACTGATTACAATACATGATATTTAAATTATCTGGGTGATATTGTTCCCTGTTATGATAGGTATTAAACATAAATATATACTGCTTGATTCAGACAAATTTTGAATGTGACTGTCAGCCTGTATCATGAAAACAACATTCGGATAGAATCTTGATCATACACTGTGAATGGTAGTGAACACAATTAGGATATTTTTTGCGGCAGAAAACAAACACCAATCAAAAAAAGGCACAATAAGTTTAACTAGACATAATGAAAAAATAGACTGGATACATTCTTCTATCGTATCAACTTGTACTAGACTAAATCACTTTTCTTGGTGAACAATTGGGATACTTTTCTGTACTCTTCCTCAACTGCTTTCACATACTGTGAATGACCAGAATACACCAGTTTTCTGTTCACACAGAGGAAATCACATGTCTTGCAGTGTGCATCTTTGGTCTGAGACGATTAAATCAGCTTTAATGAAGCATGTGTTAGATTTATTGTGTTCAGTCGCCCTGCACAATACACTGCAATCACTTCCGAGGCGTGTTTTAAATTGCTGACTTTACATGTTGCTGTTGCGGAAGTTAAGGGTTATCTCATCAATTGTCATGGAACCTGGTCAGACTGCTTAGGAAACAGATATCAAAAATGTGTCTTGTCCATCAAGGAGGATCTTATATTTTAAATACAGATTTTATTTTTTTATAGATATGGTGTTCATTCTTCCTGTAATTCTGTAAAATGATGTATATTTAGATTGATGTCTTTTTAAAACCTAAGTCTAATTGTTTATTTATTAAAAAGTACATTATGTATATAGGATCTGTTATTTTCGCATCAATATTAAAATAATGCTTTAGCTGTGACCAGTTTTACTATCACTTTGTCTCCAAGCTGTATCAGTAATAGTACCAGACTTTATGAATCATGGATTTGTCAAGACATACTTTCCATCAATCTTGCAAAAT